AAGATTTAGAGTTTGAATCAACGAAAAAATGATTTTTTCAAAAATTGCAAGGTTTTTTAAGGATTCTTTTTTTCAGTTTTTTGGCCCCAATTGAAAAAAAAAAATTCTAAATGTTCTAATTGAAAGTGAAGGTTCATTTCATCTTGAAGGAGCTAGTAAGAAAGTCAGTTCGAGAAACTGAGGTTAGAAAATCACATTACCGTATCCTTTTCTGTCAGGATGTAGTTGCAAAATGTAACTATTCTTTCCCTTATGCAGGAATTGAAACGTTTTCCGACTCTTTATGCAGACATAGTGGCTGCTGCTGATCAAGCACTCGAAAGGTTCCGTGATGAGAGTAAGAGGACTGTGTTGCGACTGGTGGATATGGAATCCTCATACCTTACAGTGGATTTCTTCAGAAAACTCCCTCAGGAAGTGGAAAAAGGTGGGGAGCTGTCAGCCTCCACGGCCGACCGATATACAGAGGGGCACTTCCGAAGAATATGCTCAAATATTTCCTCATACATTGCGATGGTGTCTGAGACACTCAGGAATACAATCCCGAAGGCTGTGGTTTATTGTCAAGTTCGTGAGGCCAAGCAGTCTTTGCTTGATCATTTCTATACTCAACTAGGCAAAATGGAGGTAGCTAACGTCCCCATCACTCTCTAAATTTAGTTTTTTCTCCTCTTCTTACGTGGTGAATATGCACAATATGTACCAGGAATATAATGCTTGCAAGATAAGCTATGATGCAGAGCATTTGATTATTTATTTATTTTGTTTGTTATTTTAATCCGCTTAATTTTCATGCATATTCATTTTTTCGCTTTTTGCTTAAATTTCCTTCTTATGCCAATTCTTCACAGTTGAAACAGTGAGAACTCAGACGAATTCTTCATTTCCATTTTCCACTCATCAACATTATTCTATGGCTTGTAATATGAATTCTTTTCTGTATTTCATTTTGTAGGGATACCAATTGGCCCAGTTATTGAATGAAAATCCAATGCTGATAGAGAGAAGGCAGCAATGTTTGAAGCGGCTTGAGCTATACAAGTCTGCAAGGAATGAAATTAATTCAATTTTATGGGCCAGATAAATTATCCATTGTGAGCTAGGAAAATTGTTGAATCCAATAGAAAAGAAACTTTTTATAAAGTTTATTTTTTTTATTTTTATTTTTATTTTTTTTGAAATTCTATAGACCTTGATAAACATCTTGATTAGTATTTGGTATGTCAATATTAGAAATGAGATATGATATGTGATGCATGTTTGTCTTTGAGAAGCATTGATAGAAAATCTAGACACTTGAATAATTTTTTTTGGTCATAGAGAAGTAGATTTTCGAGATTCTCAAGTTCTTGATGTTCAGGATTTGCTTCTTGTGTTAACATTGTTTGAACTATTGATAAATTAAAGGGGTAATTAGACAAATATCATAAAATAAGGGACTTCAAAAAAATCAGTTATTGAGCAATTTAAAAGGCAGAATGTGTAACATTCTCTTCTAAAGAGTCACATCACGTACTTCTATTTACACAATTTATTTTTGAGGAAATTGCATCTCAAGTCATTTTTTGGATTGGTATTTACAAAATGGTTACTTTTTAATAATTTTTGTAAAAATGTCATTTTTGGACTTTTTTTTTTGTCCCTCTAGAAAATTTAAATTCCATGTATGTGTTTAATTAATGTTAATTTGACTAAATGAAAAAATTGTACAAAATATAGATGAACATGTGCCAATTCATATATATATATATATATGGATCTACATTTCTTGAATTTAGGGCCCGTTTGGTAGGGATTTTGAGAATTGATTTTTTGACCGTTAGAAGAAAAGTGGAGTCCAGATGTGAGAGAAGAAGTCAAAAATTACGGCTTGAATAGTAAAATAACGGACAAAAAATCAATTTTTTGGGGCAAAAAATCCCACCAAACGGGGCCTTTTAAGATTGTTTATAGCATAAACTCTGAAGTATGCTGATGCAATTTGTTTCTGAGATGATTAATTCTGAAATTTGTCGTTTCAAAGTGTTGTTGATCCTTGCGCTACTACATAAGTTGAAATATTTTACTTATTCTTTCTCAATGCCATGATTCGAGGTGGAATTATGGAGCTACCGACGTAATATTAGTTACTAGCAACATGGTTCCTGGTCTCATAAGAGAACTCATGGTCCGGTCTTACGAGAGAACTCGTGGTTCGGAGGAAGAACCCATTGTTAATTTCGAAACTATGTGTTTCTTTTAGACTTGTAATTAGTCGTATTGTTTTGAACTTATTTCAGGATTAATACATCGAAAAACATATTTTTGTGTTGGAGTAGTTCACGTTCATGGGTGAAAATACATTTTTTATTGTATCGTAGATTGTAATTTTTTAAGGATGTTTTTACGTAATGTGTATAAGGTCGAACTGTCGAGAAAATTAGTAGTTTGAAATACGTGGCAGTACTACCAAGAAAGTCAGTGAAAAACTATCTAGACTTAACTGTCGAGATTGCATTTAATGAGTATGGTAAAAAAAAAAAAAAAAACATATTCTTATGAAGCATTAAGTATGTTCATCAATGCTCAATTACGAATTGAATAAACCCTGATAAATCATTTAAATAATGCTATATTAAAAAATGAATATTCAAACTTTTCTTATGTTTTGAACTAGATATATTTTCTCAAGGTTTACAAAAGTAATCAAAATTAATGAATGGAGAATAATTTACAAATAATTTGATCCGAGTATTTAAGATTTAAAACAAGTTATAAGATAAAAATATTCAATTTTGATATTGCAATGGCGGAGGAGATTAACACTTATATTTTATAGGGTCATTACGGAATGCTATTTGGTTGCATTATTGTTTGTGACATTTTGTATTTCTTCGACCTCGTGATATTGTAAATTTTCATAACCTTCATTCGCAACAAACGAACGATACTAGAAACTTGTATCCCTCATCATGTGTATAGTCGGAAGCTTGATTTTGAGAAGATTAATGCGAAGAGTAGTTTTTTTTTTAACTGATATGTACCAATTCAAATCTTCATCTTCACGTATTTCAGCCAGAGGTATATTCATATTCGAAACTTTAAACTTCAATTTTATTTTGATGCATGGATCATGAATATGTAGTTTTTCCATAAATCATAACACAAGTTCTACTAGGGTGATATTACTTGAAACTACAATTGAAGTGACTTTGTTCCCTGACCACTTCCATTCGTTATCTACATGCTCAAATTGCCATAATGTGATATGATGAATCTCCGATTATTACTTTGTACCTAAAAATTTGAGATAGCAATGACAAGCATTCGTCACAATTAATATATCGAACTTTAATAGATGCAAGTGGCGCCTATGAATAAATTATACCAAACACTAATAAATCGATGAGACCAACAACTTAAATGTCTCTCCCGACATTTGCTAAGTGTCGAGTTCGATATTTTAACTAATCCGTTAGCTAGCAAGAGATTATGAAATTTTTTATTTTTGATTAAAAATTGTATTAACCATTATATATTAGGTATATCCAATGGTTTTTCTTATACAAGTAAAAGCATCAAATAATGGCATTAATTAGCATTAAATGCACGCATTAATGAGCAATAAATTCACCAAAAAAGATATTTACAATGGTCGTTCGGACATTTCACGCCAAAAAATGACATTTTTAAGCACCATTTGAAGAAGTGACAATTTTTGTTTCAATTGAAAATTTTGTGACATCTATGCAAAATTCCCTTTATTTTTTGATTGAGACTTTCATTTTATATCACTTTGATTTGGTATTAAGAGCTTGTCTAAGGCCCATTAAAATGAAGTTAAATATTTCATTGGCCATCGAACTTTACCTAATGTCACGGCTTACTCATCGAAATTTACAATGCATACCACTAGCCACTGAACTTTATGCTTGTGCATTGCATCACTCACTGGATGAGTTTTGTTTCTCCCTCCGCATCCATGGATAAAAAAAAAATAACTTCATCAATTGTATGCCAACGTGGAGGACAAGTCACCAAATTGGTCATTTTAGCAAATTTTCCAAATTGAAATATTCAATTCACAAGGCAAAACGATAAATCATGATCCAAATTTCTATCATAGGAAACAAAAAACTAATACAATTTCAAACATTTTCAGAATTATCCATAATATCTTCATTTCGATCTGGATTTCATTTGTGTGCGTGATACGAATTTCTGTACATATTCTATCCTCTTTTTTTCCCCCCTCTAATTCTTCCATGGCAAATTCTTGCAATGAAGTGGGTTTTCCAAAAGAAAATTGTTCTTGAGAATTGAATTATTCTTGAGTACTGTAAATACTAGGATTGCCCTCTCCTCCATTTTCATTACTTCTTGCCCTTAAGCTGTTGGAAAGAGAGGAGTTTCTAGTTATTTCTACCATTTTTGCAGCTCTTACCACTGTATTTTCCCTCACGATGGCCTCTCGCCTAGTCTCCTTATAGTAATAATTGCAGTTGCAGTTGCACTTGATTGAGTTGTAGCTCCAACTGATTTGGGTTTTAGTTATGTAGAAGTCCGAGAAATAAAATAAAATTAGACTATTATTTTGTGATGATCTAGCACCACCACCTAGTCCATTGAAGAGAAGAGCTATGGAAGCTCAACCCAATTAAGATTTCGAAAGCCCAAACCATAAGTTAATTAAATGCCCAACAATTTAAGAGATTAAGTTTTAAGTAAATTTGATTATAAAAATTTAATGAATAACTCGGTTGTTTCAATGGTTATCTGCATGGTATTTCATATAGGCAATCCAAGTTCGAATCACCATGTAGATATTTTTTAAAACCTTTTATGAATTTTTTTATGGCTTAAAAACTCTTCAAATTCTTAGTTAAATATCCAATTTAACAAATTTAATGATAATACAACTCCCCCATTTAATTTTTCATTTAAAATGAATATTACAAGAAGTGGAATGTTACTTTTTCACTACACATCTCTTCAAATTCGAATTTTCTCTTATTTTCTCTCAAAAAAAATATATTTCATGTCAAGTTAAATTTAAGAGAATAACAAGGGTGAGAAGAAGAAAGTCTTTATACACACTTTGTTCTTTGATATCCAACAAAATTCAAGGTAGATAGAGGTGCAAGTGTTTATTTCGTTTTCAAATTTGATTTTTTGATAAATGTTTGAATGAAACGATACCGTTGGGTACGGTGCTTCGGCATTACAACAGTTTGAATGATCATTTTTCGGCTCTATGTGTTATGATAATGCTATAATAATTGGATTTTGCCGAAAATCTATTTACGTGTGATGGTATGAATCTATAATTCGAAATTTTTAATTTGATAACGAAATGCACCTATGATATCTATTGAGTTTCAAAGTCATGGGTTAATTCCTTCCTACAGGTTGAATAAATTTTCCTTGAAGCGTGTGACATGTCATGGAGAAGCCGGTAATTTAATATCTTTAATTGATTATAAAATGTTTACTTTTTCTTTAAATTATATTCCTATGGATGTCATATGTGGAACTAAGAATATTTCTTCATGAATAAGTTATGTTTAAAAGTAGATTTATGTTATAAAAGTTAATTTACAAATCACCGTTTACAAAAATATGTTAACGATTTAAAGTTTTGCTGTCTCTTCAAAAATTTAAGTTTCTACCTCGTTTTTAAAAATTCATAACTCTTTTGTTACTTAGCATTTTTATACAAAGCCAGTGACATTGGATAGCCTCATAAGTTAGTTTATGAATGAACTTGGAATCATATTAATCCGATGTCAGTAGAATTTTATATCTTGCATAAAGTCAACTGCAGTGGATAGAGTCACCGTTTTTTCAGCCTCTGCCTTGACTTCAAAAATTTATGTCTCAACCGTTGCTTAGAACTTCTGGATGGAACCAATTGTATTTGATAGTATCATGGATTAGCGACTGAATAAATTTAAAATCATGTGGTTTTGATGTCTGTTGAATTTTATATGTCATTTTAAGTGAACTGCACCAGTTTACCTTTTAATCGGGTCGCTGCTGAATTTTGAAAAATATTTTAATACTCATATGATGCCGACGTAAGCTAATTTTTGACTATGTCAAATTTGATGAAATTTTGAGGTCGATAGATATGCAAACGAATTTATTTTGACAATTACCATTTAAGATAAAAATAAAATAGTAACATTACTTTTAAAGTGTTGCCAAAAATTTCACGTCAATAGTCGTTAAATGCATGGAACCCATTCTAAAAATATTTTTGAAATTGTGTTCTTTTAGTATTGAATTATTTTT